ATAGTCAAACTGCACACGTGCGCAGCCTGCATTCTGGCTTGCACTTGACTCTGAACAATAAATGAGTTGTTTAGAGAGCAGAGCTTACAAATGGACCTGCCTACACATTCCCGGGGCACTCAGAGGGGTTTCATTAATAGCGCTGATGAAGCCAGTCTTTTGGGGTGACTACTACAATTTGATTAATTTCTAAATGAAAGCGTGCGCCTCAGGGTGCAGGATAGACTCCTGGGGAAACACGAGAGGAAGGGAGAGCTGAGAGGGATGGAATCAGAGATCATTTCTTAAGTTGTTAATACGGACAGGACCCTGGGTCTGCTGCTGCTGACCTTCTGAAAGCCCCAGGCCCCAGCCATACAAGAGGAGGGTGCCGACTAGGCACTTTCCAGTCCCACTTCTCCTGCTCCCATCACTCTTTGAGCCCCGGAGCAGTGGGAACAGAGAAGCAACCAGGGTCCAGGGAAAGGCAAGGCTTTGCGCTGGGGAGGGGGCTTCACCACAGCCAGCCACCCCTCGGGCCTGGCACTCAGGAGTCATTCAGATGCCCCCCTTGAGCCAAGTGCCTGCTGGCTTCAGCTGCTGGGACAGAAAGTGAGAGCTGTAATCCCAGAGCCAGGAGGCTCCATCCCCTACAGCCCCCTTGTCCCCTCTGCCCTTCTTACTCTTGGACATAAGCTGGGTGGTGGGAATGAGAGGTAGAGGGGGTGTTGGGAGCAGGCCCTAGAGGTCAAATCTTTCCCCCCAAAAGTATCTGCAGGTGTTTTTCCAGAGAAGGCGTCAGACCAAACAAAAATCGCAGAGGTAAGGAAAAAAATGGAAAGACTCCCCAGCTAAGGACAGGTGGGGTTTTCCATGGTCTGAGCATCTCGGTGGAAGGGCTCAGAAAGGGAAATGTTAGATCATGAAGGTGTCCCTGATCCACTGAGAGATGAACAGCTGAGTCTGCCCAACAGAGCCTCAATCTGCCACAAAGAGGGAGGAGGCTCTTTTGTTTGCTACGGGCCTTCAAAACACCATGCCGATAACATTAAACCGGACATACAAGGGCCAGGATTGTATGACCGATGTGTGGGCAAGGGGGCAGAAGGGAGTGCTTGAGGGTCACCAAGTTTCTGTGAAAGGTGATGGAAGCATCTGGAATGGACAGAGTGATTGCTGCCAAGCGTGGTGCGTGCAGTTAGTATCACGGAAGCGTTCGCGTAAAAGCGGCAAACGTTTTGCTGTATATATCCTTCACCACCATGAAAACAAATGAATAAAAGACAAAACGGCCCATACGATTCTTGGTGGAGAAGCAAGACTTCCTGCGTCTGGATTACCAAGAGTTACTATCAGGCAGAAGCCACCCAGAGGGGGCTGACTCTGTACCGTGTACTACTTTGTCCCTCCCAGGGAGCTGCTAGTTACGGCCCAGCCTACAAACACGAAGTTCCAAAATCTGAGCTCAAAGAAAAGAAGCCCCCAACAGGCAAGGCTAAAGCTTCAGTCCAGGCAGCCTGGCTCCGGGCTCACATTCTGACCACCCCGGTCCCTGAACACTGACGGAATCATGCGTCTACCAGAGACCTGTAGTGACGGAACAGGAAGCCATCTTCCCTGTGACTTTCATAGACGGTGGGGGAAACCAGCTAGCTGTGTTTCTTAACAGGCCCTTGGCTGAACACCGAGGGTGCGGCACAGAAAGATAATTGAGCGACGTCACTTCCACAGAGGCAGTGTAGCCATCAAAGTCTTGGTTTGTAGCATTTTTGTTTTGTGTTTTAAGATCTAATTTGATTCAGACTTGGTGCTTAGAACACTCACAGGAATAAACAAAGTGCTTTCCTGCCCCTGCCCCTTGCTGACACACTGGTGACACACCAGCTTGGCTCGGGGGTTCTCCACCTGTACTGTGCAGAAGCAAGACCCTTCGAACCTTTAACACTCCGACTCCATCACTCTAGGGTGGGGCTGGAAACCAGCATTTCTTCTGAAAAAGCATGCAGTTGAGTAAGTGCAGCTCACTGTGGACTGCAGAGACCATCATCGGGAGGTACCCCACCTCCAAGCCCGATGGTTGCTGAGGAAGCCGAAGGGAGGGGCAAGGATGTGTTGCTTGCAGGGCAGGTGCATGCATGCGGGGGGAGAGAGAGGCGCCACCGTGGAGTCCCTTGCTTTGTTCCTGGAGAAAGGCGGTGCGGGGGCTGACTCCGCCTGCTGGTGCTCATTCTTTACTCCCTTGAAGTGGGAGAGGTTGCTAACGCACCTGGCAGGCCTGACCCCCAGGCTGGCACTCCCCTCTTCTGAAGGTTCCTTTCCCTGGTGCTGCATGGCGGGCGGGACTGCGAGGGTGTGCCCTGGCCCCCAATGTGTATCCTGAGCCAAGGGTGAGAAATGAGTCCATACCGTCTGCTTTCCCAAAGCCCAGAGGCTCTGTCTATGCAAGCCCGTGCAAGACCCATCACCTCACCAACTGCAACCTTTCTGGCTCAGCAAAGTCTGACGGAAACACACAGGCTGTGTCAGGGGAGCCCACAGCTTGCTCTTAAGCAAGCGTGCGTGTGTAATCGCTAGAGAGAAACACAGCACTATACTCCAGTCTCTTGGACTAGCTGCTCACGACTTAAAAGACAGGGCACCCCCGCTGTCTTTTTAGTGGGGAGTGAGGGATGAAAGTGAGTCCTTGGGTGCAAAAGAGCCACACACTCAGTCACTAGCAGAACGGTTGTAGGTTCGAAGCCACCCGGAGGCACTTCAGGAGACGGGCTTTCTGAAAGGAAGAAGGTTTGAACCCTC